CGTGGTGCTTGTTCCAAAAAGGGAGGTGTCATTTGAGACACTGGTCATGCCCTTCGACACGTGGACTTGGAGACTAAATGCTGCCATGATAATAGGTGTGGTAGCAGCGTTGACAGGATTTAATTCCGGCAGAGGAGATGGTTATTTTAAAATCCTCTTCACCCTCTGGAATCAGCTGTTTCGCACGATTTCAACAATTTTGGGGCAATCTGACATGAGTCTGGGAAAGTTTTCTAAAAATGGTCGGGTCCTCATTTTCGCAGGCTTCTGGTACAGTACAATCTTTCTTTTAGGAAACTTTTACCAGGGTGCACTCTACTCATGCTTGACATCAATAGGAGTTCCGAACGTTCCTAAAGAACTACCAGATGTTTTGAACCAGACTAACTTCGACGTCGTTACTATGTCCCAAGTAACAACAAATTTCGAAAGTTTTAACAACATATCTACCCTACAATCTACCCTGAGTGCAGCAATAATTCCTGATTTATTGCGAGCGACAAACTCTCCAAGCACAACAAATTTCCTCGAAACGTTGGATCAGCGTACCAAATTCTTAACCGGAAATATATTTGAAATTGGGTCCAACATCAGTCGAAATGTTGGGGTCAACTCGGGAAATGGGACATCAGTTTTTCCTAAGCTTCCACTCATTATTCTTGATCGAGCATACCAATTGAATACCCTCACCGAATCCTTGTCCATTTCGGCTGACCCGATCGTCCTTAGAAATCATGCCATGACGCCGTTCGTCAGTCTAGTTCCGTGGCACGGGAGGAGGAACTTTCTATACCCGATGTTCTCGGAAGAGTTAGGGAGGCTTGTTCAATCTGGAATTTATGATCAGTGGCGAAAATATAAAAACGCCGACATGCAACGATACTCGGCTAAGTTTGCCTTGACAAGAAAGGACTTCATGACTTTCTCTGCCAGAAAAATGTCCAAGTCTGACAAGGAAATAAATTTTGCTGAGGCGAATTCAGTCTCGTTCAAGCCAATGAAATATGCGTTCGCCTTGTGTGTGTCGTTGTTAGTAATTGCAATGATTTCTATAGTGGTCGAGTGTGTGATCGCTAAAATGACATGTCTGGGTACATACTGCACAAATGTATTGCTATATTTATTACTCTAAATATTTAAATTTATTCTAAATATTTAAATTTCCTTTTAGGTTAAAGTATGTACATAGTAGAATATTTGCATTGAAAATTAATACAATCGGATATGCGACAAACTACTCTGCACTTAAAATAACACGAGATGTATGTAAAAATAGCTCCATAGGAAATAAATCGTTGCAAATAGGGTTGGTCTATCCGATCCGAGAATATCCGATCCGTCGGATCGGATCGGATAATCATCGGATTGGATCGTAGATAAAGATATCCGAGAACCATCGGATCGGATAAGATGTTTTATCCGATCGGGTCAATCCGACGGATACTTCGGATATCCGATCGGATATAGGATAATCCGATCGGATATCGGATAATCCGATTATTTAAAATTCCGCAGTCTGGCGATGACTTTTGAGATTATTGTCCCTTAAAGTGCCCCAATTCAGATAGCTGATATAACTAACAACTTGTTAGGGTAACTAATTAGTGTAATTTGTTGTAATTTTTTAATAGTTTTAATTTAAAAATCTGGGACATCAAGCTATTAAACAATTTGCATTCAAGTTTTAACCTGAGGTAACTAGTTCCGTATGGTAATTAATTGCGTTAAATATTAATTGAAGCCAGGTCATTAATTACGAATTACAATTACATTTCCATAAAGTAATTAAAGCCCATTGCCAGTTAAATTTCAAATTAATTTAGCCTTCCCTATAGTTAATGAAGTAAATGATTAAAAAATACTTGTTATTACTTACCTAAGTAATAACAATTACATAACTAATTATTACAACACTTACTTAAATAAGCTAATTATTATTTAATTATTTGCATGGATAATTAGCAGATTTAATTGCCTTCAAAAAATTTACAGGTGATTATCCGATCCGATGGGATATCCGTCGGATAACTCGGATTCGGATCGGATTAGCTTTAATATCCGATTGGATTATCCGACTAACGGAATAACCGATCCGATGGACTGTCTATTCGATCCGATCCGATCCGTCGGATAACCAACCCTAGTTGCAAACACGAAATGTAGCAATAGGGTGAAACCAAGTCGTATACCCGTCTACACTGTAAAAATTTACTTGATTAAGTTGTCCTGGCACAGCGTCAGCTTTAATTCAGGTCACAGGGTCATCGTCAGAGGTGGAGAAAATACATGAAACGAAAAATACAAAATAAGATACCACCAGCTTACAAATACAAAATACAAAATACGTATTTTAAAATACATTAAAAATAAATTTTCAAATACTTTTTAAAATTTAGTCAAACTTATTTCAAAAATTACAAAAATACGACTCAATGTGATTTTATACCTCGGATTTTACAATATCTTTTTGAATGAAACATCGTTTTCGCTAGAATTAATTTTTCCTCGCTCGTAGGTATTGTTCTAGCAATATTATATTCCATACGTCAATACCGCTAGATCATTTTTAGTTGAAAATTGATAAACAGTAATTGCAAACTCCGAAGTGAACAACATTTAGCATGAGATTAACTGGAGTCACATTTGTTGTTGCCAAATAAACAAGTAAATTGGGCGTATATTATTTATTTTGTGCAATTTTATGAAGCCTACTTGACGGGTTCCATCAGAAATCGCCGCTGAAAAACATTTTATTTAATTTTCTGGTGTTTTAACCCAGAAACCTGTTCATTGGGTCTAAAGTACTCGATTTAGGCAGCCGTACTCGATTTACATTTCTCCTTCGCTTATGAAGGAACCATAAGGCCCACTGAGGTCAAACTTCACACAAACCTTCCCCAGGGCTTGCCCTTGAGTCATCCTGGAGCTTGCCACCCTACCTACACTCCGTGACCTTGAAACCTAAGGTAGGCAGGGTGAGATTTGCTCATTTTGTCACCAGGTCATATTAGAGAAATTTCGAAAAAATGGACGTTTAATTTTTTCCCCAGCTTTGCACTTGCAAATCCGTGTCCGGCTAAGTCAGGAATGTGGCAGCACCCCTCTTCAATAATATATTCTAAAAGAATGGGTTCAGTGTATCAGTTTTGTCCCAAAAATTAAAGAAGTTGAGTTTTTTCGAAATTTCTCAAATCTTGCAAACTTCGGCGATTTTTAGTGAAAAAACCGTGACACACCCTATCCAATATTTTTTAATTATAATATTTAGGGTAAATGTCCCAACATCCCTGGCATAGTTGGACATGGATTGGACAACGCCAAGGTGTCGAAAAAAAATTAAAACCCCATTTTTACCACAAATTTTATCGTATCTTGCAAGTTTCTGTTATTTTTAGCAAAACAACTATGACACACTTCACCGGCGGCTTTTTATATGTTATGCTCACATGTTGCAAGTATCTAATCCAGCCAATACTTGGACCGATATCGACGAGTAAGGTGCGATAAAAAATTAAAAACTCAAAAAATCTGGATATTTTTTGGGAATATTTTGGCATCCGGGCTAAATTTTTCCTTGCGTTATATTTTCATGACTTCATTTATTAATGTATTAGTGCCTAATGTAATTGGCTTCATTTTTTTCCTGAGACATTTCTACAGATTCAGTTCGGTTTTAAAGGTATGGCCCAGAAAACGACAAAAAGATGGGTAATTAAAAATTTTGGTTTTTGGCTCAGAAAGGTGGTCGCCGGTAACTTTTTTCAACTTTTCATAATTTATTTATTATTGACCCATTATGACCTTCAAAATAAAATAATAAAAAGCTGTGGCCATTTATCATCCTCTGATTTCCCTAGTCCTTCCCAGGTGTAAGAAAATCTCAAAATTTTGATAAAAATTGAAACAATCAATATTTTGAAAAGCTTGTTGGCATACGAAAGTTGAACTCTTTTTCATGATTTTTAGAAATTTTTATGAAAATCCGCCCAGAATTTCAAAAGTTATGGCGGTTTTAAAAATAAAAACCTACAAATTTGGCGAATTTGGCGCCACGCCATGGCGCCAAATATGAGTTTTACACGGAAATATGAATGGATCCTTCATCTAGGGTCATAATAGATTCTAAAAAGCATAGTGGGTACCCTGGACATGAACGACAGGTCGTGAGTGTACCTTGTGAGTAAAATTCATCGGCCTCTAAACCATCAGGTGGTGGTCCCCGACCCTAAAAAGTATATAAACTCTGAATCCTCCCGCCGAGACCTTTCCAACGATACCCCATGGATGGGGCTATGTGAGACTTGACCTCGTGACCTTTGACATTGTTGCAAAAAATTGTTTACACCTGTAATTAATTATAAATTCCCTATGTACATGAAAATGGAGCTCATTACAATCGTTTTGCAGCAGAAGCGAAGAGAATCCTTCCAGAGTTGTTGCGAGCTAATTGAAAAATGGTGACAAAATGACCAAATCTCACCCAACCTACCTTAGGTTTCAAGGTCACGGAGTGTGGGTAGGGTGGCAAGCTCCAGGATGAGTCAAGTACATGCCCTGGGGAAGGTTTGTGTGAAGTTTGACCTCAGTGGGCCTTATGGTTCCTTGATAAGCGAAGTAGAAAGGTAGGCACCGGGTGCCAAGAAATGTAATGCTTTCACCATACCATTACATGTTCAGAAATTCTAAAAACTGCCTAAATCGAGTACTTTAGACCCAATGAACAGGTTTCTGGGTTAAAGCACCAGAAAATTAAATAAAGTGTTTTGCAGCGGCGATTTTTGATGGAACTCGTCCTATTCGAAATTTGGGTATTTGCCAATAACAGAACTTACCGTATAGTCCCAAACTACCACCATACGTACTTGGAACGTGCTATTAAGGGTAACTCTGAACCTTAACTATTTTTTCGGCGCTTATCTGCTTCCGGGTACTATCGACCTAAAAATTAAGAAAAAATGTGCTTACTTTATTTCAGGATAATTATTATGTACCCAGCCTGCACAAACACGAGATTAACATGAGTTTTGAACGAGTTTGGTGACCCCAGTATTCGTGTTAAACACGTATGAAACTGGTAGAGAGCTGGTGTTAAACTGGGGGCAAGTGTCGCTCTTTTTAACGTATCTAACTCGTTCTTTACACGTGTTCCAAGAACGAGTTTCACACCACATCGACGAGATTTACCCCAGTAAAACACGTATTTAGCCACGAGATTTACCCCAAAAAAACACGTATTTAGCCACGAGATTTACCCCAAAAAAACACGTATTTAGCCACGAGATTTACCCCAAAAAAACACGTATTACAACATGAAAATTTACGTTCACGATTTTTATTTCTTTATAACTTCTATATTATTCTACAAATTTAGACAATTAAATGAAGATGAATTTAGAAGGTACCAAAAGTAAATTAAAATTTATAGAGTATAAATTAATCGTCGGAGTTGAATCCAGCAATGACGGATGGATGATTTGCATTGGATTTTGCCAAGCGTTTCCTGCTTAAGCAGTTGAAAATGTTTACAATTCTTAATTTTAAAATTACATATAAATAAATCCTGCTGTCTTCGTACCTGTCAGATTCAATACGTTTATTGGAATTCTTTAGCCAATCTTTAATAGCGTTTGAAATCTCGTCGTCGCCAGCGTCGCTCAATTTCGGGATTCCATGAATCGCTTCTGAAAAAGAGTGACCAGTTACAAAAATTTATCTTACACACTAAAGTAGTAACATATTCATGAAAACTACCAAAAATAATGTGTTTCATCAAAGACTTCGAAAAAGCTGTCTTTTCTCCTCTCGAACCAATCCAGTTATATGAAGACGCATACGTATCCGTCAACAATTTCGACAGTATCCGCTGAGTAGCCTTCTGTGCCGTCTTTGTCGCACCTAGGCCCCTCTGCAGTTCTCGAATCTGAAAAATAAATACATAAATAATTAATACTGTATCATTAGCACTAACACCAGCAGCGATGCATTTATTACTTATCAAAGTAATTATCAAATATGTTGCACGTAATATTCTACCAATGTGTTCCTGGATTCCGTCGCAAAATCTTCGAGTTTTTTTAAGTCGGAATCGCAATCCACAGGTAATAATCCAGCTGGCAACGTATTTAAACTTTGACCACCACCCTGTCCGTTCAAATTGCAGCTATTGAGCAAGGCGTCCACACATTCTTGTAGTTGTCGCAATTGGGCTTTCACAACATTCATTTGTCTAACCATCCAGTTTTGAAATTCTGCAGAAAAATATTTACAAATCTTTAGCTTAATAAGACCGTGTCGAGTCGCGTTATTCAAATAATAAATTTCTTACCTATATTTGCAGAGATTTCCTGATTTATCTCGACCTGCGTGTCGATCTCCACGCTATGGTTGCTCGAAACATTGACCAATTCACCGGTACAATGTTGACGCAGCATGTTATTTGGGGAGAGGTCTCTCATTTGACCATGTGGTGATGGGGAGTGGAGTTTGTTAAAGGTCAATGAATTTGCTGACCTGGAAGTAATTTCCTCATTTTCTTGCTGTGAATGGGAATCACTTACTGGTGGTGAGTGACGCGGTAGATGAATAGAGCTGCCTGATTCATGGTCATCTTGACGGTCTGAACGTTGCGATATACCTCCAACTAAAGCTAAATACCAGTAGAATGTGCAATTATACATAACAGAATAAGCAGACGGAGCAACAAATTATATGATTTCACATTATGATGACTAACCAAAATATTGTGGTGGGGGCGGAATTGAAAAATTCGGCTTTGATGGTATTTTAGTAAGTCCATCCTCTCTCTCCGAATCGCTTGACTCTTCCTGACGCTGACTTTTCTTGTGACGTTGCCCACGACCTGTCACTTCGAAATCACTTTCAAATTCCGGTTCGGTTTCATCCAAGGCTTTGCCAAGCTGACTCTTGGCTTGTTGGTATGATTCTGAATAGAAAATAAATTTATTTTGTAAATATTTTTCACGACTACAATAAAAAGGAGACTCACCAAATATTTTACCTCCTCCAACAACCTTCACGTCGAATGATAACCATTGTTTACTTGGATTGTCTCCACCCATAGCGGCCTTCAATTGGCGTTCGGTAGATTTAAACGGCGGCCACCAGCATTTATCTCTTGATGGTGACAACCAATTTATTGGGATAATCTCTATCTCGTTAGTTTCAATAAAATTTACTATAGAAAATCGCATGGTAAAAAGTCACTGGATTGCACTGTGAATTAGAGGATAACAAATTAATTCTGTTTCCAGTGGAAGAAGTACACACTTTGTTTCAACTAAATTAAGGTCAAATCTTCTTATATTACTCAATTCTTTCACAATTTGCACACCAATTAAAGATGATGGACACGGAGAGTGAAAAAAATCTTCGCTTCTTTTAAACTTTTTCCCAATTATTTCTGGAGGAGAAGATCGAACAAAATAGTGGATTTTTATAACACTTCCGTCTTTTAACTTGCAAATATTATTCCCTGGTTTGTCTGATAGTTCAAAATTGGTAAATTTGCACACTCTAAAACACTCAGATCTCTCACTTGAATTAGTTTCAACCTGGCAAAATTTTAGTTGTTCATATTTTTCAACGTGGTCAGCCAACTCAACTTCTTCTCTTTCCATCAACCGCCGGCAAACTTGTTGCAAGGGGTAAGATGGAGATCTGACCAATCTCTTTATTTGTTGTAGTTTATTCTCAAATGGAAACGCACTAAAGCGGTCAAGAGGACCGTGTCGACTGCAATCTCGAGATAAATGCAATAAACTGTGCAAATTATGACTGTAATATTTCTTTCCATACAATGAACCAAAGTTATTCACAAAATATTCTAATAGTTCCCCTGCGTAATTATTTTTGCTGAGATAGGTGTTAGGATTGGCAAGAATTGCAATTGCAATGTGAAAACATAAGAAATGTTGGTAAAATGGCAGAGGAAGAATTTTTTTCAACACTACAGGACCAGTGTATAAAATAAACTGCCTAAATTCGGTTGCCTTCCAATGATCTACATCCCTAATTGGACGCGGTTTTCGTGCAAATTCCTTTGGTATTGACTTCTTGATATTTAACAAATTAATGGATAATTGGTCAATTTGATGAGGTCGCAAGCGCCCTGTACACTTTTTTCCTTTCGACCATAAAAACAATAACTTTCTCGTCACTCCTAAACATACAAGATGCATAAAATCAACCGGCACATCTTCTACTAAATCTATAGGAAGTAATTCTATTATAGAGTCCTGATTATGATGAGCCTGGTCAAATTTTGATCGAAAAGATTCGTTATTTCTTAAATTATAATTTCCCGGAGGAAATGTTACCCGATTATCCAAATATTCGCCTTTTATGTCGCACTTTCCGCAAGAACTGTAACCACTATGACACTTTGTCCCTAAAATAAATGATCTTGCAGGCACATCACACACAATTGCAGATATTTTAAATTTCAAAACTAATGACTGTTCTAATCTAATGAATTGGTTGACAAATCTACTCAAAAAATCGTTAATACTTGCGGGCTTTCCCAGACCAGAATAAATGCCTATTACAATAACTTCATTAAATTCTACAATATTCGCTAAAATTGGCCAAAATTGTCTGGCACTGCTTTTATAGAGAGGAATTCCGTCAATATTAATTTGAATGTTGGTTGTACACTGTGCACCTTTAAGTAATTTTTCTATTAATGAAATCCACTCAAAATGTACATACTCGCCCGGTTCAACCTTTTCAATAGCACAAGTTCTTGGCGTACGTAATAGTGTCCTTGGATCGCTTGGTAAATCGAAGCCAGGACGTCGTTTTAAAATATCCAGCAGATCACTCAAAGCAGAGAAAGTAATATTATGTTTAACTGCCCATGTTCTTAAATCACTTGTACAACTGCTGGTATCAGTCTTATCACAATCACTATCACTAGAATCTGACTCTGTGAAGATATGACTATCAGAGTAGTCCGAAGAGTACAGGTCATCTGCCCCAGAAATCGAATCGAACTGCGGAGTTGCGGCCTCAGGATGAGAAGTTTTTGGGTGTGGCTTTGGCGTTGTCTGATTTTTTCGATCACCACTTTCAGAAAGTAAGGAAAAATCCGACGTTCCTTGTCTTGCTTTGCGAAATAATTTTCTAGATCGTGTCTTGTCCATACTTTTTGGTTTTATTATGTGAGACATGCAACAAAATAATTCTCCCACCTCAATAGCAAAGGGACAGTGTTTAGTTTCGCATGTGCAAAAACACTGGTAAAGTTCGTGTATTTCTCGCGATTATGACACGAGTCTCGGGTTATTAGCATACTCGAGTATTTCACGTGTTTTAATCGAGAAAATTCGTTTTGAAGATGCGGTGTAAAATTCGGTCTTTTTTCACGAATTAATTTCGTGTTTAAAAAAATATTTATACGAATAATGCACCCAACACGGGATTTACACCGGGGACACCAATATAACACGTGTTTAACTCGGTCGGTGCAGGCTGGGTAGTGTAATGTTTACTCACTAAAACCAGTTTTGGATATCCATTGTCACTATCACTTTCCATGTCAGCATCCCCACCTTCTTCGTCAGAAGTCTTATTTGGAATTTTAGTTTGGGAAATTCTTCTTTTCCGCCTAGTGACTTTGGTTCTGGACTTATCCATCTCCTCGGCAGCACTGGTTTCAGTTCCCTTTTCGAGACGGACGAGTTTCTTATGGGCGTCGTCGTACAGCCCTGAAACACAAATAAATAATTTATAAAATTACTAAAGTATGTATGTAATTCAATATGGTCAAGTTAATATAAACACAAGTACAGCGATAAAATACAATAACTTGGATGATAACTTAATTGCATACCTACCATAATCTTTCATCACTTTAACCTCGTAAAGTTTCCAAGAGGTGGGATTTGGGACTTCACCGGATAGTACCCCCTTCTTCAGCTTTCTGTTGTCCTTCCAAAAGGGGGGCCAATACGAGTACAAGTCCTTACCAATTTTTGTAATCCATTTTTCATGAACAATTCCTACTGATTTGTCGTGACCAAACTCCACCACCACGAATGGCAAATTAAATCCGCGATCACTCATCACAGAAACTAAAGTTTAATGAAGGAGAGGAAAAATGGCCAATTTTCCAGAAAAGGGGAGAGCTGCACACTTTCTAAAAATTAAATCCACGGGGATTTGTTTCGTGACACGAGAGAGTTCTGCCAACACCACGCCAACAATATTTGAGTCGGCCGGCACTTTAAAAAAAGATTCCTCCACTTTTAGCACGTTGCCCCTACATAACACTTGGTTGTTAATTACATGAAAAGAGGTAACTTTTAGTAATTCACCACCTCTTAGTTCGCATATATTATCCCCCAATTTTAATTTAATTTTAAATTTCTCACAAATTAATTCACTGTGTGCACTATTTAGTATTAGTTGTGTATTATTAGTCTTGAATGAACTTTGATGTTGAATAATATTGCGTTTTTCCACTATTCTATTATGCACTTGTTGCAATGGAAACCTTTTGCCTTTGAGAAGGGATTGCAGATACCCAAGATGATCTTCAAATTTGAATGCACTAAAGCTGTCGAGCGGTCCCAATAACAAAGCGTCTTTAGCCAAATGAACTAGTCCATGAACGTTGTAGGACATGTGCTGCGATCCGTACAGCTTCGAAAATTTGCTAACAAATGTTTTTAATAGTGAATGGGCATAAGAATTTAGAGTTTTATATAAATTTTTGCAGCATAAAATTCTAACCGCCAAATGTAGGCAAATAAAGTGGTTATAATATTTTTTTAGGAAGGGTTGATTTTAGCACTACAGGTCCGGAATATAGCAAAAATTGGCGCAGCTCAGTAGCCTTCCACCGTTTGACTTCTTCAATTGCTCTTGGCTTACGAGCAAACTCCGAAGCAATGAATGGTTTTAAACATATTAATTTTCTTGTTAAATTAAGCTTCTCCTTGCAAGATAATCGGAACTTGTTTATATTTCCGCCAAACCATAACACCACTAACTTTCTAACAACACCCAAACAGACCAAGTGCATGTATTCGTATGGGAAGTGCTTAACCAAATTTATATTTAATCTTTCCAATTCGCTGGGAGAATGATGATGATCTTCGTCAAGCTTTTCTCTAAAACTTTTATCTGTTCGGGGGACACAATTAACTTCAGGAAATGTCACTCGTCTTTCAACATATTCACCTTCTTGGATACATTTTCCACAGCCAAAATAGCCAGTGTGTCCTTTAATGTTTAGAATAAATGCACGCGCTGGAGCATCACATGTAAATGAATGAATTTTAATTTCAATCCTTTTTCCATTAAATTTAAATCCATTTTCGCACAAGTCATTTAATTCTGTTACAAATGCATTTAAAAAATCCTTTGACGTTTTTGGTTTTTCATTACCGCAAAATATTCCCACTTCTAAAATTAAATCAAGTTCAACTACACAGCATAAAATTGGCCAAAATTGTTTGCCTGTACTTTTCTCGGCAGGCCATCAACACTAAACTGCAATGTAAAAGCAGATAATTCACACTGAGGGGGTGTCAATTTACTTAGTTGGAGTTGTAGTCCAAAGTGGCAATATTCACCTGGGTCAAGGTCAACAACTTTAATTTTTCTTGGGGTTTTTACTAACGATCTCGCATCTGATGGCAACGAAGAAAAACATTGATGTTGTTTCAAAATTTTTAGCAAGTCTGTTGCCGACCTTTGAGTTATCTTATTTTTTACGTACCACTTATGTAATTCTTTTGAAATGTCAAAATCACTGTGTAAATCCTTTTCGCTGTTTGTAGGAAAATTAGTTTTTGGCGAGTTGTAGAGATTTTGTGTCACGTTGCCAATTATATAACTTAACTGTGGTTGTATTCCATTTTCTTCAGTTTCTAGCAAACGTTCACATTTAACTTCACTATTAGATTTTGAACTATTATTCTGATCGTTTTTTGATGAACCGTAAAATATTTTATATGAATTTCGAACTCTGTGATTAGTAGCTCTTTGTATTTTTCTTTGAAAAGATTTTTTCTTATACATTTTTGCAAAATGTATGGGTTATAAAAATGTCCGAAAACGTGTTCCCAAAATGAGGAACAGTTTTTAGCCTCTCGCTGTGCTTAGACGAAATAAGTACGTACCTATATAGGTACCGAAATAGGTTCCTTGCAAGAGAATCGTTGAAACCAAAATAGCACGTTCCTGGTCAAGCCGTCATGGGTCATGAATAATGGGTACTTCATGGGTGGTGCTAGGAACGTTCTTAGTTAGTACTTAATGCACCAGACGGATCTGGCACGCTCAGTACCCTTATAGGAACGTTCTCAGTACTTTATGGTAGTTTGGGGTCGTTCGTCTTTATTTGTTTGTTTGTTTGTTGGTATGTTTTATTGATGTCTAACCAGTTCACAGTGCAAAATCATACTCTTCCACAGGTACCAATTAGTTATATACCCCTATATTATA